AAAATTTACTACTTATTGCACTACCTACTGTGCCAAAAGTTTAACTTTTTTTACAGTAGTACAAAAAAAATATTGATTACAAGTTTAATCTAAGCATATCCATAAGTACCTAACGTCTGACATTGACAATTTGCGCAATTAATTTCCAGTTGTCAGTTAAAATTTTAATATTATGTAAAATACTGTTAAATAAAATTTGAAATAAAAACAATCGTAGAAAAAATGTTGCGTGCAACATGTGCAAAAAGCATATTTGTTGCACTTAACATGATTGCAGCTCTCAACTTCGTCTCGAGCTGCAAACTTCATGCATCGTACAACAAATACACACTCTTTACAGTAGTTGCACAAATAACTGTTTGAATGTCGCAGAAACTTTTATTAAATAGAAGTACAATGAAAACGAAACTAAGAAATAATTTATTATCAAAAAGAGAAAAAACAAAAAACTTAGTTAAAGGACATTTTCAAAATAATTGCCATTTCTTTCTAAACACAACCTAACACGTTTATCAAAGTTGTTACGGACTCGAGCAAAAATTATGGGATTGTTGCGAATCTCATCAGCCGCCGCGAATATTCTTTCCTGTAGCTCTTCAACACTGTCAACTGGGGTCGCATAAACAATACTTTTTATATGTCCCCAAAAGAAAAAATCCATGGGCGTTAGATCGGGAGAACGTGCAGGCCAAGAGATAGGTGCCTCATTGCCGCGACCTATCCAACGATTCGGGTAATTTAAATTAAGCCACCGCCTAACTACTACAGTGCTGTGAGCAGGAGCCCCGTCATGCATGTACCACATGGCCTGACGTACATTTAATGGTACTTCCTCCAGAAGTGGTGGTAGATGCTCATTTAAGAACTGCAAATATTCAACAGCACCAAGTCGATGAGGTAAAACAAAAGGGCCGACAAGCACATTTTCTACAATTCCTGCCCAAATGTTTAAACTAAAATTATGTTGAAATGTTGTCATAGATACTTCGTGAGGATTTTCATGAGCCCAGGAATGAAGATTGTGCATATTGGTTAAACCATGTCTTTGAAAAGTTGCTTCATCTGTGAAAAGTATCTTTGAGGCAAAATTCAAATTATTTCTTAGAATATTAAGATACGATTCGCAAAAAACAACTCGCTTATGCATGTCTGGTTCAAGTAGAGCTTGAACTGGCCGGTGGTGAAAAGGATATAATAAATTATCATGGACAATATTCCAAACAACACTATGGGACACATTTAAGTGCATTGCTGTTTTTCTCGTACTAGTCTGACGATTTTCGTCAAACTCTTCAAGTACTGCATCCTCAAGATAAATAGTACGAACAGTAGGTCTTCGGCCGGTACCCTCAATATGCGGCTGTATTTTTCCAGTTTCCCGAAGTCTTCGTTCTACCGCCGAAAAAGTTTGTCTGTGGGGAACTTGACGATTTGGATATCTCTCATTATACGCTCTTGTTGCCGCAGCACAGTTTTTGCGACATTCAAAATACACTTGTAGCATGTCCACATATTCATCATTAGTAAAATTTGGCATAATTCTTGTTAATTTACACCCAAAAAGTATTTAGCTGATAACAGTGACAACTTACAGAAGAGTTAATTGTGACAACTGGCATGACAGCAGCACACTTAGTTTTTCTTTGATTGATTGCAATCATATACGGTGTGAGGTGAATGGTAATACATTTTATTTTTTTATTAATAAACGAAAAGTTTTAAAGGAAAATTGCTAGAGAGGTAAAAGTTTCTAAAAGAACCAGTTTATCTAATGCGTATTTTTGGATATCGAGTTTTTACGAAATATAAAAGTTATGGCAAAAAATGGCTTGAGGGGTGGTTATTTCAACCCCTTTCGAGGGGTTAAAATTTTCGAAAAATAGTTGAAAACTCGCATCTGTATTAGTAAACAACCTGTAAAAAATTTGTTATTTGTACCTCGTTCGGTTTTCAAATTACAGCCAATTTTCATAATTTTTTTGGAAACATTGATGGTCCATATCTCTTCAGGGGTGAACATTTTACTAAGGCAATTTTTTGCAGATCGTGTTCTTTTGAAATGTAGATTCACTGGTATCATTTATGCTACTCCATTAAAAACACCCTGTATGTATATTTTGTTTTTGTAAAAGTTATCGTTAAAGGTTTTGACATCAAACCAATTTTTAATGTTAAAATCATTATCTGTTTTTGTTATATTGATATTACATTCTTTGCAACAAATGTTGAAGCGGTTCTGTCTCGCCATCTATCACTGCATTTAAAAAGCATACCCACTCTGGTCAGCGGTAAGTTAGATTTGATTCGTATTGAGAATCGATTACAGTAACCTATTTCGTGTCACTCACGATAGAGGGTACTTTGCTTGCTAAACCGTATTCACAAACCACAAGACGTTGCATAACTTCTCCCTGAAAAACAAGTACAAGTATAACCAAAATATGTTGTGCTCATTTGAAAATAAATTCAAAAACTTATAACTGTTGATCGAAACGTTCGTGGGCTAAATAATTTAAAATCTTCATACGCTAAATTACAAAATTAACTTTCTTACAAGCTTTATTGTAATATTATTTACAATGAAATTTCTTTTTACAAGGGTATTTCAAAAAGTAATAACAATGACATACTCAGGGTGATTTCTGAGTAGCTTAACTTCATGTGGTTGTTCCCGTGATCATTTTAAAACAATTCTAATTAAAAAAATATTCCGTTGATTCAAATACAGTGCGTTCATGACGTAAGGAACAAATTGGCTTAAAATTCAGGCAATTATTTGGTGTCAAAACGCTCGGCCACGTCGATTAGTATTTTTAGTTGTGGATTTTTTGACATAATAAAATTGTATACAGGGTGTCTCAAGAAAAACATATGATTAATTGGTTTTTTAATGGAACACTCTATATATTATCCCATTTTTTAATTGTACGGTAAATTCTGAACACTTTTTGTAAATCATAGCATATCTCTAAAATCAGCGGTGTTCGTAATAATGACATTTGAAAATTGATATTTTGAAATACACGCAAGTATGTAATTAAATAAATTGTTTAAATTGAACAACCTTGAAAATTTTTTAAAAGCCAGCAAAAACAACCTAGTATGCTAAATTTTATCTGAAACAAATAGGCTATTGATTATGTCTTAAAAAGCGGGGTACTAGGGAACTACAACGTTGATGGGTTTTTATTGCATGAATCGTTCAAACGGTTATTCAGAAAGAAGAAGCCATTTCGATGAGAAATTCAATTCACTACAAAATTTTTCCTATGAACTGTACCGAAATTTTGCTTCGTTTTCGTGCTATATTTAAAAAACTGCAAAAGTGCTTTTTCACCCCTATCTTCTATTTCAGCCCTATAATTTAATAGCACCCCGCGGTTTTTTCATTTTGATTTACCCTTCGAACAAGTCATGTTATGAAAATCCTTGAACGTCTTAGTTTCTTCCTTTTTTGCAAAAAATGAGAATTAAAACGTATAAAGGTAAACGCGACGAAATTCGAAAAATTGGCGGCCATATATCAGTCAATTTTCGTTTAAAAATACTCTACAACCTCTTGTTGTCAAGAAAATTTTATCTAATTTTTTTTTCTATGAACCTATCTTTACTCAAAAAAAAAACTAGAGACAAAAAATTTATTTATGCATATTATTATGGTTATTTTGCATAAAATTGTTTAAATAAGCTATTTCGATGGGAAATTCAATTCTCTAAATAATGTTTCCTACGAACTATAGCGAAATTTTGCTTCGTTTTCGAGTTACAATTAAAAAACTGAAAGGGGTGCATTTTCACCCCTATCTCTAATTTCCACCCTATTTCAGCCCTATAATTTAATAGCACCCCCCGGTTTTTCATTTTGAATTACCCTTCGAACAAGTCATGTTATGAAAATCCTTGAACGTCTTAGTTTCTTCCTTTTTTGCAAAAAATGAGAATTAAAACGTATAAAGGTAAACGCGACGAAATTCGAAAAATTGGCGGCCATATATCAGTCAATTTTCGTTTAAAAATACTCTACAACCTCTTGTTGTCAAGAAAATTTTATCTAATTTTTTTTTCTATGAACCTATCTTTACTCAAAAAAAAAACTAGAGACAAAAAATTTATTTATGCATATTATTATGGTTATTTTGCATAAAATTGTTTAAATAAGCTATTTCGATGGGAAATTCAATTCTCTAAATAATGTTTCCTATGAACTATAGCGAAATTTTGCTTCGTTTTCGAGTTACAATTAAAAAACTGAAAGGGGTGCATTTTCACCCCTATCTCTAATTTCCACCCTCTAATTTAATAGCATTCCTCGTTTTTTTCATTCTAAATAACGATTTAAGCGATTCATGCAATAAAAACCGATCAACGTTGTAGTTCCATACCATGTGACATAATCAATAGCCTAACAACAATTTTCTTCGTATGAATCGTTTTTCATTCCTTGACCCCTAGACCATTTTGATGTGATATTTTGTGACAATAAAAACCAAACTATCATCAGCGTTTAGTTTGTCAGTGTCATTTTGTCAGTTTTACGTTTCATTTTAATAATGCATTTATCTGAGAAAGAACATATTGAAGAACTTATGGTAATTGGGTTGGAAGACAGAGTGCATACTCAACAAGAAGTGTGTAATGGATTCAGTGTAATTCATCTTGATCGATCTCCAATTACTAGATCTACTGTCAGCAAAATTGAATTGAAATTTGCTGAGCACTGGCACGTTAGAGATTTACCTAAAGGAAGACCAGCAGAAATATCAGAAGATTCTAAACTAGACGTTTTACTAGAAACTGTAAATAATCCCCATGTAGCCGTTAGGACAATCTCCAGGAATTGTAAAGGAGAGAACGCATTAGGCGCTCGCGGTCCCGTCGCATCGCCGTCCGTTCTGGGCTGAGCTGATCGCGGTCTTTTATTACAAAATCAGTCGTATTTGGCAATTAGCGCATAATAGCGCTCTCCTTTAATTAGTTACAGTATTGTTTTAGTAGTGAAAATGAGTTCTATGGAAGAGGTGTTTTTATTGGCTCTTTTATGTGAAGAGGAAGAAAGGCGCCAAAGAAAATAGCGCGCAAGATTTTGAATTCATCCAATTAATAGAAGCAGAGGGTGAATTTTAAACTTTGTTAAAAAAAATTGCTATTGGATGAACACAGATTTTTCCAGTACTTCCTTATGTCATCTTGAAAGTACAATGAACTACTTAAACATTGCGATTTCCAAGAGACACCTATTTTTTTATCGACGGAAAAACATATTTAGGGGGTGAAATACAATCTCAAAGCTCGTCCCCAAAAACAGTCCTCTCTAAATATCTGGGGTTCTCATCATTATTTTGGAAATAAACAAAGTGGAAATTACTTCTTATAAAAAAAACAAATGTTTCACAAGTGATTCCGTGTTTGGGGGTTGCTACCCTACTTTTTTATTTCAGAAAAACTGTAATTTCACACTGTAATCAAACATTTTTTATATATACAAAATGTATATATGCTCAAAAAGAATTAAAAATATTATTTATGTAAAAAAATTGACAAAATTAAATTGATCTGTTTCGGGGTTTTCGTTAAAATCTCTTTTTAGGCGTGAACAATCCCCTAGTGCGTAAAAAGTCTGTACGGTTAGAATTAACATTATAAAATAAAAAGATTTTACTTTTTTTAATGATACGAATAATTTTTTCTATTAGCCTAAAACGGATTTAAACGGTTGCAAACTGCGCCTCATGTTCACCCCCAAAAACAGTATTTCCATGATATCTCGGGTTCTAATCAATATTTTGGAATGAAACAAAGTGGAAACTACATCTTATAAAAAAGCAGATGTTTCACAAGTGATTCCGTGTTTGGGGATTGCAACCCCTATTTTTTATTTCGGAAAAAATGTGTTTTTCAAACATTTTTTATATAGATATAAAAAATTCGTATTTACTCAAAAAAATTAAAAATATGATTAATGTGAACAAATTGAAAAAAATTGTTTTTCTTCAAGCGTATAATAATACTTATATTATATAGTAAGTATCCTAGCAACGAATTAAAGATTCAAGAAGCTTTGACGTTTCATTAAGTGTCAGTTGAAATTTGATGTCGCGTCGGGTCGTTTTTAAAATGTGTGAAGAAATGCAGTGCACACCACCAGAATTACTGGAAATTGCAAATACATCAGTTGCAACACTTATACCAACAAAGTCGAGAAAAATTTATGAAAATGCTTATGATAAATTCATAAATTGGGCAAAAGAAAATAATGCACATATTTATTCAGAAAATGTGATGATAGCATATTTTACAAGATTATCCAGAACACTGAAAAGTTCAACTTTATGGGCGCAATATTCAATGGTAAAATCTAAATTAAACATAGAACACAATGTAAATATTGAGAAATATTCAAAATTAATTACATTTTTGAAACGACAAGGTGAAAATTATAAACCAAAAAAGTCGAAAGTTTTGTCTAAAAAAGAATTTGACGAATTCCTGAATAAAGCACCTGATGATAAATATTTAGCAACCAAGGTATGTACTTTTTAAATTATAGGTAGATATATATTTAACCTTTTTATATTTGTAATACAAAATTTTGTTATAATTTGTAAACTTCAAGTTATTTTATAGTATCCATTACGAGAATAATAAACAATTTTCGGAAATAAAGATAGCTCATTGGAAGAATGTTGTAAAAACTCATAAATATAGATGTCTTAAAATTACGTCATGTTTTAGAATTTCCTTGCATTTTCCAACTTTTTTTATTGTTACAAAATTAATAATTCTATATTTTTTAGGTTGCACTAATATTTGGAGTCACAGGAGCTTGTAGATGCGATGAACTCATTCAAGTAAAAGTTAATGATGTAAAAGATTTGGGAAATATAATATTAGTAAATATTCCCAATACAAAAACTAAAAAACATCGTTCATTTACCATAATTGGAGAGTTTTATTTAAATTTATACAGAAAATATGCTACTCTTCGGCCAAAAGACATAACTTTTGATAGATTTTTTATTAAATATCAAAATGGCCATTGTCATCGTGTTGTAATGGGCATACATAAAATTTCAAAAGTGCCAAAAGATGTTGCATCATTTTTAAGGTTGCCAAATCCACATGAATATACGGGGCATTGCCTTAGAAGAACCTCGGCAACTATCTTAGTTGATAATGGTGGAGACATTACAACCCTAAAGCGACATGGTGGATGGAAATCTACCAGCGTCGCTGAAGGATACATTGAAGATTCTGTAAACAATAAGAAACAGATAGCGATGAAAATATTAAACCCATTAGAGTATAATGAACCAAGTACATCAAGCGAAACTGTAAATATTGATCCTGAAAATAATTTAATCGAAGACTTTTCTGTTAATAATGGTACAATTGTTAACACTGAAACTGAGAACCTTATTACAAGTAACGTATTCAACGACAGAACTGTAAACTTTGAAAAAAAGACAGCCAGCAGCGCTTTAAATATCAACAACTGTACCATACAAAATTGCACATTTAATATTCATGTTAATAAATAAAGTTTGATGATAGACATGTAGGTAATTTAGATGTTTATTCGTTTAATTCAAATTAAAGAAAAATAATTGTTACATTTGTTTTTTTATTCATGAATAAAGTGGTTAAAACTGTCATGTTTAATTAATCAATAAAATGTATAAAATGTATAAAATAAATAGTATTACCTACCTACTGATTTTATTTTGTGCTGAGATTGAACATCGCGTTATCCGCTATAAATTTTCAAAATTAGTAATTTTTTATATTCACGCTTGAAGAAAAAATAGTATATGTCACTCGGAGTGGAAGGCTCATTATGTGTTTTGCCCAATTTGCTCAGCCTCGGCTAACGCCTCGGCGAGCAAACTTTTTGGCTCAACACATAATGATCGCCTTCTACTCCTAGTAACATAATATACTATCTCTTTTTAAGGGGGTGAACAACCCCCTAGTGTGCGAAAAATGTCTGTACGATTAGAATTAACATTTTAAAATAAAACGTTTTGCTTTTTCTCTATTCATACGAATCATTTTTTCTATGGGTCTAAAACGGATTTAAACGGATGCAAACTACCCCGAATGTTCATCCCAAAAACAGTATTTCCGTGATATCTGGGGTTCTAATCAATATTTTGGAATGAAACAAAATAGAAATTACTTCTTATAAAAAAGCAGATGTTTCACGAGTGATTCCATGATTTCGAAAAAAATGTATTTTCAAGCTAAATGGAAATTATTTCTATTGAATAGAATGAATGATACACAAGCAATCTTGTCTGTAATTTGTATTTCTATAGAAAATGTGTGAAAATAAGAAATAAGTATAATTTTACCATCTACAGGGTGATTCATTAACAATGGGAAAGTCGATAGCTGAAGATACTACACGTGAAATGGTGACGATTGGCGCAAACATGCCTTATCCGAAAGTTAATAGTTTCGGAAATACAGGGTGTTGAAAGTCA